GGTGGGGAGGGGAGTGTGACAGAAACCCAAATAACTGACATTGGTGCTGCAAAGATGAAGAAAGCCGTCAATTCCCTGTGCTCCGTGCAGAAGCCCAGATGTGCCGGGCTGCACCGGCTCTCGTGGAGGAGAGGGCTGCTCTGGGAAAGGCTGCTGTGGGCGTGCAGATTGTATATTTCCAGTTTGCAGCTCTCATTCTCTTTGCTCCCTACAGGGAGGAGGCTGCTCGCAGACGCTCTGCATTGTCCGTCAGGAGGACTAGGTTTCTAATTACTTGCTATGTATAGTCTGGAGGGATGCGAAATATGCATCAGAGAGCCAAGGAAAGCACCGACCATTATTCTCACTCTAACTCAGCTGGAGCCCAGGGACACTGTTTCCTTCGGCTGGCTGGATGGTCTCAGCCTGGGAACAGGGCTCTGGGCATGAACGTGTCTACAGTCACTACAGTGGCTACAGTGTCTCCTTCCGTGGCTACCGGTGCCCTTCCTTTATTTCTGCTCCGCTTGTTAGTTGCATGCGATTTTGGGAAGGGCTTGGGTGCAGAGGCTAAACATTTAGGGGATATGTAGGAAGTAAATAGGATCAGTTTGATTAATGGTGAGGCGCAGAAAGGATGTTCTGTAGGAAATGGTGGTGGAGTCTGTAGGTTGGTAGGACTGGAAAGGGTTAGTTCTGAGAAGAACTGTGGGCTAAACTCTTGGTTTTCCAAAGGGGAAACAGTTCTGTTAATGTCCATGCAGTAAGTAGTACAGGGCTCCAGGATTTATTGGACTTCTGAGGTCTTTTAAGAAAATTTCCCCATTAAACTGTCATCCTTACCCATGTCGTCAAACGCTGTGTTACTGGTCGGGTCTTGCCCTTTGGACCGACTGCCCTGGGTCGCTAGGGTAGAAGGCGGATGTGATCACACTAGAGCCCTGTCTGTCTTGCTCCTTGTTGTATCTCTAGTGCCTATTCGTGTGCCTGGCACCTAGCAGGTACTCAGTAAATATTAACTGAATAGATGAGTGGAGGAGGGCAGGAGAGAGAAAAGAGAATGAGTGATTGCTGTCTGTGTGTCTAGCACCGGGTATGGTATGTTTCAAGTGCTTTGGCCATTGTCACCAACAACCTCCATAGTGCCAAATCCCATGTTTCCTTCTCTGTCTCCACCTTTCTCAGCCTCACAGTAGCATACTCTCCTCTTCTGTCAACTTCCTTGACATCACTCTTTCCTGGTTTCCCTCTTACCTCACTCACTGCTTTTGTTCCTCTGCTCTGCTTGTAAATGCTGGCATGCCTGGCACTTGGTCTTAGGTCTACGCCTCTGTTTCCACATTTTCTTCCTGGATGATCTCATCTAGTAATGGCTTCAGAGACCAGCTTTCTTCATTGATTTTCCAGTTTTTATCTCCAGCCTCAGGCTCCCGTGCTACAGATTTAGACATCTAATTGTGTACCGGATAGTTCCTTTTTCACATATAGTATGCATCTCAACCATAAACTGGACAGAAAAGGACTCTTGATTCCTTCCCCCAAACCCGTTCCTCCCACAGCCTTCCCTGGACTCCTGAGATAGTTTCCTAGTTTCTTCGGTCTCCTGATGATTTACATTTCACACAGCAGCCAGAGTGAGCCTTTAAAAACGATAAAACAGTTCCATCTTAAAACTCTTAACTATAGTTAATAATACTGTATTGCATATTTGAAAGTTGCCCAATGAGTAGCTCTTAAAAGTTCTCATCCCAAGAAATAAAATTTTGTAACTCTATATGCTAACTAGACGTATCATGGTGTGATCATTTCACAGTACTGTAGTCTCCCCTTATCCAGGTTTCTACTTTCCATGGTTTCAGTTACCCATGGGGTTTGAAAATATTAAATGAAAAATTCCAGAAATAAACGATCGATAAGTTTTAAATTGGGTGCTGTTCTGAGTAGTGTGATGAGATCTCGTGCTGTCTTGCTCTGTCCCACTCTGGACGTGAGTCTCCCTCTGTCCAGCCTGTCCACGCTCTCCATGCATGAGTCACTTAGTAGCCATCTCAGTCATCAGATAGCACGGTATCACAGTGCTTATGTTCAGGTTACCCTTATTTCACGTAATAATGGCCCCAAAGCACAAGGGTGGTGATGCTGGCAATTTGGATAGGCCAAAGAAAAGTGCTTCCTTTAAGTGAAAAAGTAAAAGTTCTTGGCTTAATGAGAAAAGGAAAAAATGTAGTAAGCTGAGCTCAGCCAGAGTGGCTCAGTGGTTGAGTGTCACCCTATGAAGCAGGAGGTGATTGTTCGATTCCTGGTTAGGGCACATGCTCCCGGTGGGGGTTGGAGGGTGGGGTGCAGGAGGCAGCTGATGGATGATTTTCTCTCATCGTTGATGTTTCTATCTCTCTCTCCCTCTCCCTTCCTCTCTGAAATCAATAAAAATATATTTTAAAAAATGTAGTATGCTGAGGTTGCTAAGGTCTACAGTAAGAATGAATCGTCTGTCTGTGAAATGGCCTAATTTATAAATTAAACTTTATCATAGGTATGTATGTCTAGGAAAAAACATATATATAGGATTCAGTAGCATCGGTTTCAGACATTCATCGGGGGTCTTGGAACACGTCCCTCTCAGATAAGGAGTGGCTACAGTATATGCAAATATCAAATCACCTTGTACATCTAAAACTAATATTATGTTATATGTCAATTATACCTCAGTAGTTCAGAATAAAAAACACACAACTCTTCAGTGGCTCCCAGAACACCTCTGATGCTGACTGCCCACCATGGCCTTCATGGCCCTGATTCCTCCCGTCTCTCTCCCCAGCTTCCCGGACCTCGTTTCCATTCCTGGAACATGCTAAACTGTTCCCACCTTAGGGCCTTGCACTTGCTGTTCCCTTTGCTTGGAATGCTTTGCCCCCAGATCTTCAAATGCCTGGTTCCTTCGTATCATTTTCTTCTCTGCTCAAATGTCACGTCCTCAGAAGCCTCATCTGAACCACCTTATACCAGGCAGCCCACTGTCTCCTTGTATTTCTTACAAAGCACTTAATGCTGTCTAAGGTGACCTTGTTTATCTATTTATTACTCTGTTTCTCAGGAATTGTCTGTCTTATTCGCAGACGCATTCCCCTCCCTCTGGAGAGTGCCAGGACAGAGCAATTGCTGGAGAGTAAATCAGTGCATCATCCATTCTTCATGGGAAAGGCTCAGAGAGGGCTGGCAAAAGACTTGGCTTCTCAAGTCTTCAAGGCATTGTTTTTCTACTATAATTCTGGCGGCTGATCCATATCCCATTTGTATTTAATTTTATATTTTTAGTTTTCATACAGAGAAAGAACTAGATATTTATCAGGATGAATTATTGCATGCATGTCCCGTATCCCTGAAAGAAAATATTCTGCAAGTGTCTGAAGGTAATGAGTTTCTTAATGGCATTGTCCACCAACAAATGTTAGGGTAAAAAGGAATCAGGAAGGAAGAAAGGAATTAAACATGTAGTAGGTGCTAGGCACAAAACTGAGTACTTTCACATTTGTTACCTAATTTGAATCTCAAAGCAGTCCTGCAAGGTCAATATTAGTATCCCAGTTTTATAGATGGAAACATGGAGGCTCACAAAGTTAATACTTTGCTCCAGGTGATGCAAATATTAAGTGTTGGACTGAGATTTTTAAAACCCAGGTCCACCTGACACCAAACTTCTGAAACTTTTTGCTAAGATGGTTGTTTGCAAGATGGATATGCTCCTAAAATAAAGAGGAGGAAAATGCGAATTCAGTGCATATCCACATATATTATAACAAGTATCTGAAGCACAAGAACAAGTTTTACAGGCAATATGGAAAACAGACCTACAGTATTCCATGCCCGGACATTGAATAGATGGATGAATAGAATGCAGCGTAAACATTTGGTCCTCTGGCGACGCTCATGTATGGTGTGACATAGAGCAGCTGTCCCCAGAGAAAGTTCTTTGTTTCTAGACCAGGCCGACACAGCAGCATTTGAGCAATTGGGGATTTCTTTCTGCTTTCACTATAAATAGAGTGCGTGGAATTCTGTATGTCAAAGTTAATGCAGTGAAAATGAGCCCCAGAATAAGGAAGCAAACCGTAACTCATTCCTTAAACGAGAGACATGTTTGGCACCGAGAGGCCGTACAAACACTGTCATTACTTGGATGGTTCCTGAGGTCTTATTTAGCATGTGAAATTGCAGAGAGGATCCTATTATGTAAGGTGACAGGAGGACAGCATAATGTGGCTACAAAACGAAGAACTTTGTGCCCTTCATGGAAGAGTTAACAGGACAGATACACAGCGAGAGGCGTGTGATAAGAATGTGGAGCATAAATGAATGGGTGGCATGTATGTGTGACTGTCGCCGAAGCCGCGTTGCTGGATAAGCCTCAGATGTCAGATTTCCGTAAGGCCAACATGTGACTCAAAGCTTGCCACTCCACAGAGCATACTGGGCTGTGCTGGTATTAAGAGGCTGGCTGGAAGCTAGGCTCTCACTGTGCACTAGCCTACCTCCCTGTCGCTATCTGTGTGTGGGTGGGTGTGCATGTGTGTGCGTGAGGGCATACATTTTTATGCAGTGGGTGTTTAAAGAGCTCAGCACTGAAGCTGGATTTCCACAAACGATCATCAACGAGCACTCCAGATATACCAAACTTCCTCTCTTGGTATTTTTTTCTTTCCTTTTTTTTTTTTTTTTGCAAATGCAAATCCCGAAGGGGAGCACCCCCACCACCCAGCCTGCGGGACTGAGATGATTTTCTCTCACCTGTCCATGTGGGTGCCCTCTCAAGGTTAGAGCGGAAGCCATGTGGGACCGGAGTATTCTCTACCACCAGAGGAGAGGAGCTGCGTGAAGAAGTGGCGGTCACCAGGCGAAGAGGGACGGTGCCCCGTTAACATGAACAACAGCTTGCAGGTCAACCTGCCCAGAAGCTGGGCTGCTTCGAGTGGCTCCCTCCAGGAGAAGTCTGAGCATTCTTTTTTTCTTTTTTATTACTATAGGATGGAGGATGAAGCTGTCCTGGACAGAGGGGCTTCTTTCCTTAAGCATGTGTGTGATGAAGAAGAAGTAGAAGGTGAGCTTTATGGGTCCAGGGAAGTATATATGCATATACGTATGTCTTTGTAGAGAGTAGCATTTGTCCATTCCGTGTATCTTATATTTTTGAAGTTAAAAACCTAAGCTTTTCTACGAGTTTCATTAATCTCCCCATTTTGCTTCGACACAGAAAGTAATTTTAAGAACTTCATTGGATCATCAGAATCTGAGTCAGTGTAGTCCTGCATGGTTTAAAAAAAGGGGTGGGGGTGGGGGTCTTACTTTGAAGCTGGTGCCTCTTTGTAAAAAAGAATTTTTTTTGCCAGAACATATGAACCACCTTCCAGTGACTAATTTAAGGAAGCTGCTAGATTTATATAAATGTGTTTGGTTGAATCTTCTCCTGTTCTTTCATATAGCTTGCAGGGTAGAGAAACAGATGTTAGAGAAGGAGACTGATACCATTGTGGCCAGGAAGAGGGGTATAAGCTGAGGATGTAAAGAGTGGTAATCATGGATGAGTCTCAGTTAGGAAAAGATGGACAAGCATGTTTTACTTAAAAAAACCCCAGGACCTCTTTTGCTAATGTTCCCCAGTCCTGTTAAAAACCACTTAAAAGTTAAATTTTAGCTCATATTATGATGCTTTTAATGTGTCTCTCGCTTGACTTTTCAATAATGTGGACTAATGCTATTGATTTGATAGCGAGAAAGCAGGACTTAATATTTGCTAAAGTAATTATGTGAAGGCATCACAGATATGCAAGGTGTTATGAATATTTATAATGAGATTTAAAAAATAATCGGTACTCATAAAATTAAATGAAACTTGCAGGTGAACCATGTCATAAAATATGCCTGTTAAAATCACCCGAGAGACAACTTATATGTGTTTGGAAACTCTAGTTTTATTAGTGCCATTTGGTAAGCATTTAATGTATACCAAAAACTTGGACTGGAGGGGTGGTGGGGTTAGGAAAGAGAGGGTGGTGTTATGTGTTCTGGAGTGATTCTCCAATCAGACTCATCCCAGGCAAGTGATGCTTCTGTGCCACCTGGAGTCGTTTGAAAAAAGTGACCATGGTGTTTTTTCTCACATTTCCTTAGTAAGTTTCTTCTGACCATGCCGTGTTGGAGGGTAGGTTCCCCCCTCCACCTTGCTACTTCCTGCAGTTATACTCTCGAGACTAATAAGAATTTGATACCTAAGTTTCTTAGGAAAAAGGAAACTACAGTATTTTCTTTCATATTGTTTTATGGGTTCCTTGCACTTTTACAACATGACTGTGGGAAAATGTCAAGTTCGTGAAAGCAAAATAGTAAAACTTTTGTCTTAAGATTCTTACAAACCGTGATGTTAAGTCTCCATTGTCACTGTCCCAGGGTCAACGAGGATATAAGAATATTAAACTTATAGCATTGTATGTAAGAAATATTGTAGGATTGAAAGAATATTCTATAGTCTCAGGACAATTAAAGTAGAAAAATCAGTGAGGAAGCTTGGGAATGAGATGTGTGAGTGTATGTGTGTGTGTGTGTGTGTGTGTGTGTGCGTGCGTGCGTGTCTGAGTGCGCACGCGCGTGTGTGAGTGTGTGTGTGTTTTCCTAGAGAATAATGTTCTAGCTAAGTTCACAGCAGATGTAAATCACTTTCTTGAGTGTGTTAGTTCTGTGGGATTGACAGCACCCTATTGCAATTGGGTATTGTACATGGGTTTCGTAAGGCTTTGACCAAGAAGTTAATTTCCTGAAGTATTTCCTTTGATTTTCAGGCACAAAATTAAGACAACAATTTAATGGATAGCATACAAATCAGTAGCCAGGTTTCTCTAAGGAGAAACAAAAAAGACAACAAAAGTTGATAAAACATCTATAAAATTGTTTGGCTTTGTGGTGATTAAACTTGCCACATGGGTTTTGTGTATTTTCCTGTTCTGAGACATCTATTTGAATGATTATCATTCATGTTGGTTGGAGCCTGAGTTGATTATATTTCTTTCAAGGCATGTTTAGCCAGTTGCCTGTGGTTGAGTCCTCAGGACCTACAGGATGGTTGTCTGTGGTATCATTATTTGGTGGCGAACACCCAACAGTACAGGCTCTTGTACAGTACGCCTCTTAGAACTTCAATAGAAACGATTAGTTTCTAATTCCGTGCCCACCCAATGGACCCTCCCATTTTCTCACCTGGCTCCATCTGCTGGGGGTGGGAGCACTTACATTTTATAGTGACTCTAGGTGAAAGTATAAAGAAGTTGCAGTGGACATGGGTGTGATGGCTTATCTATGCGGTTGAGCATGAAGTGGTTGAGCATGAAGAAACAGATGACTTGACTGCCAAGACCTATAATGAGAATGCTTTTGTACCTTGAGTGGGAATGTACTCCTCAAGGACATAAATCCGCCTCATATTTTTAAAAAAATATATTTTATTGATTTTTTACAGAGAGGAAGGGAGAGGAATAGAGAGTTAGAAACATCGATGAGAGAGAAACATCAATCAGCTGCCTCCTACATGCCCCCTACTGGGGATGTGCCCACAATCAAGGTACATGCCCTTGACTGGAATCGAACCTGGGACCCTTGAGTCCGAAGGCCGATGCTCTATCCACTGAGCCAAACCGGTTAGGGCCACCTCATATTTTTAATTGCACCAAGAAGGGTGTATTTGAAGGAAAGCAAGTTATTATCTCAGAACATAAGTAGCTGAGTTCTGGTAGATTTATGGCAGAAGGAATCACTCCAGTTTTAAGGATGAGAAATTCAAAGGTTAAAGGAATTGGAACACCTTACATTTCTATTATCAAACAAAAAAATTTTTTTTAATGCAAGCAGTTATTTCTCTTGCTTCTAGGGTACACATGACTGTTGCATGTTGCAGCACACTTGGCAAAAGTAAACAACATAAAACTTTGTCTTTTAAAGTAATTTGCACAAATAAGATGTACTTCCATTAAGTAATTATTAGGGTGACAAAGGTCCAGTAGCTCTAGTTACTTTGAAATGTTCATGCTTTTAAAATTCTTCTTAGACCCTCAAATTTGGGGGCATTGGATTGAGCTCAGTCTGATGCAAAAGAGCCCAGTGTGCTCTCATACTTTCATCTACTGCTGCAGTTCTGAGTAGGGGAGGGAGACGGGGACCTCAACCCCGCCCTCAGTTCACCTGGTTCAACTTTACTCTCCGTGGGTGGCATGACACTTAATCCACCATCTGAAAACTAAAAGAATACCATCAACTGCAGAACTCACTCAGAACAGTGAGTCAGAAGAGGAGTCATCTTCTGTTTAAATAATGAATTCATCTGTGTGGGATATATTTAAAGACCTAAACCTCATTTTCACATAATTTGCCTTGTGCTTTTGTGTTAGTAGTGTAAAGATATACTCTTTAAAAAGGTAACCAAGTGTCAATTTTTAATCTTTAAAAGAAAGAGAAGCTTTGTTTTCACTCATTGATAAGTGAAATAAGTCACAGAAAAAGTTCAGAATCATATGATTTCACTCATATGTGGGATATAAAACTGAAAGCAACAAATGAACAGACAAGAAAAACCAACAAAAACTCATCAACACAGACGTCAGTATGGTGCCTACCAGAAGGAAGGGGGTATAGGGTTGTGGTAAAGGGTAAAAGGAGTCAAGTATATGGTGATGGAAGATTAGTTGACTTTGGGTGTTGGACACACAACGCAATATGAAGATTATATCATAGAAGTGTACACAGAAAACCTATGCAGTCTTATTAACCAATGTCACCCCAATAAATTTAATAAAAAGAAAAAATACAAAAAATAAAGAGAAGCTTTAATATCTGTTCTTTCATTGGTTATGTTATACTGTGTACGGTTTTGTGGAGTTAACATTTTTGGCTCAGAGTGGCTGCTGTGGATAAACTCTTTTAAAAAGTTTAACGTTTAAGATAATCATATTTTTTTTCTGTACCAAAAGGCTCCATCTCCAGTCCAGGTACTTTCATCAGAATTGGCCTGTAGATGACAAATTGATGTTACCAGATGCCCCAGAAATGCCGACTGTGAGAACTGCACTTTGTTTTCATTTCAAACGCACACAGAGAGGGGGAATTGGCAGGTTTTGTGGAGTGAACCAAAGTTGAGATAGAAGAAAGAGCCCCAGGTATCTGTTTCCAGAGGGATATCTTATACATATTTTCTCCCTAAGAAAGTCAGCCAGCATTTTGGATCTGTATGATGTAAACAGATTACTTAATAATCTCATATTTCGCAATAGGGGAAAAGAGCAAACTCCACCTTATCCTTTGAGATAAGGCCTTGGCCCTGCAGTGCTAGGTACCTTCCCAAGCAAGCTGTGGCACTCTAACCAGCAACTCAGGAAGTGTAAAGTACAGCAAGACAATATTGGCTGAAATGTGTCTCCACTTCTGCAGTCCGATCGGTGCTCTCAAAGCTATTCTGATACATCGTGGTGGCTTTCCTCTCCCATTCAGAACTAAGGCCAGGAGGAAGTGAGCTCTCATCTCTCCAAAAGGAAGAAGAATTAATGCAGAGTCCCATGTCTGCGGATGGACATTAAGAGAATGTTGTTGGAAATGCATGGAATTTTACCGGAGAATTATTTTTAGGGAAGTAAAAGTAAAAAAAAGTAGGACACTGGAGCAGAATAAACGTTTACCAAATATTTGTTAAAAGAAAGAGTGAATAAATGAATGCATAATATAAACTAAAGAAAGCATATGTAGAATTGCTTTACATAGTACTCTACAATCTTTGTTTAGATTTTTAGTGAGAACTTTGGTTCTCAGTAGTCTTAGTCAAATAAGATGATACGGTTTCTAGTGAGCCTATCCTTGCTGTTACTCTCATTTAATTTTGCAAAGATGATTGACATTTATGTCATTTATATACTTATTTTGATAAGGCGAAGAAGCCTCTAAAACACCTCTCTGCCTGATTTTTCTTTTCCTGCTTCAGCTCTGTCTTTTGAGGAGAGAGACAAAATGATGAAATGGTAGCTTTTGTCTTTTTGGAAGTCGGGATCTCAACATTTTACAGACATG